GCAAAGCTTCACCAAATAGGAGGTGATAGGAATGCAAAAGCTTGTTTGAAATGCCCAGAAGATGTGAAAAAGATGCTAAAAGACTATATGCAATCAAAAAAGGATGCTAAGATCAACTACGATAAACTGCCAGAGCATCATGATATGGATGCATTTCATGATCTGGAGGACGATGACACTGAAGTTGAGGAGCAGGAAACTGATTCTAGAGGCCACCTAAAACGAGTTCGTGATATACAGAAGGGAAAGGCACCTCTAAAGAAGGCAAAAAACATAAAAGGGCCTATGGACGCTTTTATCCACAAAAAGCCAGAAACTGTGGTCGAGCTTCGAAAGCAAGGAAGACTGAAACAGTTGAAGATTGACGAGAAGTTGGATAAGCAAAGAAGAGACGTAGCTATTCAATACATATGCACCATGTTTTATCATAATGGCAATCCTTTCAATGTTGCCCGATCACATTCATTTAAATGTGCCGTTGAAGCAGTTGGACAATATGGTCCAAATTTGAAGCCTCCTAGCTACCATGAAGTGAGGGTTACATGTTTGAAGAAAGAAGTTACCAACATGCAGGATATGCTAGCTGAACATAGAGCTCTGTGGGTGAAACATGGCTGTTCAATTATGGCAGATGGTTGGACCAGCACCACAGGTCAGTGTATTGTGAATTTCTTAGTTCATTCTCTGGCTGGATGTGTGTTTGTCAAATCTGTGGATGCTTCTGCATATTCAAAGACTGGTGCAAAGGTATTAGAACTACTTGATGGATTTGTTGAGTATGTAGGAGAGGCTAATGTGGTACAAGTGGTTACCGATAATGGTCCTAATTTTAAGTTAGGTGGTAAATTGTTAGAAACTAAGAGACCAAACATATATTGGACACCATGTGGTGCGCATTGCATTGATCTCATGCTCGAAGACATTGGGAAGTTGCCTTTGGTTTTGAAAACCTTAAGGCGGGCAATGAGTTTAACTAGTTTTATTTATAACCGTGTGGGATTGCTGAACTTAATGAGGAGGTACACAGGGCAAAGAAATCTGATCAGGCCCGGAAAAACAAGATTCTGTACTTGCTACCTCACTTTAAAGAGCATCTACAAGCAAAAGGCTAATCTTCGGGCTTTGTTCTCCAAGACTGATTGGAATTCTAGCAAGTGGAAAAAAGAGGCGGGTGGAAAACAAGTCGAAGACTGTATGATGAAGCCTACATTCTGGGATAATGCTTATTACATACTCAAACTTATGGGCCCTCTTGTGAAAACTCTTCGACTTGTTGATAACGAAAGAAAACCAGCTATGGGATACATCTATGAGGCTATGGATAGAGCCAAAGAAGCCATAATAAAAGCTTTTAATGGAAGAGATGATAACTATAAAGAAACATTCAAGATCATTGATTCTAGATGGGAAGATCAACTTCACCATCCACTGCACGCAGCTGGCCATTACCTCAACCCCGCCTTTTTTTATGCCGATCCGCAAATTGAATTCAATAATGAGATCACGACTGGACTGTATGCTTGCATAGCTAAACTGGTTCCCGAGGATGAAGAACAACTTGTTATTATTGATGAACTGTCAAAGTACACAAGGGCTGAGGGTTTATTTGGCATCAAGTTGGCAGTTTTGTCAAGAAAGACCAAGGCACCAGGTAACATGCTTTTTTTTGTGTTTTTTTTATATAACATGCAGTTTTTTTTATTAATACTTTGTAACAATCTGCCAGATTAATGCAGCAGTTAAATTAATGATTTTTTTTAATATAACATGCAGTTTTTTTTATTAATACTTTGTAACAATCTGCCAGATTAATGCAGCAGTTAAATTAATGAATAAATTCTGATTTTATGTCATATATACAGCTGAATGGTGGCGCTTGTATGGAAGCACAACTCCCAACTTACAAAAATTGGCCATGAGAGTTCTTAGCCTCACATGTAGTGCTTCAGGTTGTGAGCGTAACTGGAGTGTGTTCGAACAGGTACATTTTAATCAACACTCCTACGAATTAATTGTGAAACACTTGAAAGTTAAAACACAAGGAACCGGCTAGGAATGCAAAAACTAAATGATTTAGTGTTTGTGAAGTATAATGCAACTTTGAAAGCTCATTTCGACTCCAAAGATATCACAGATCCAATTGCTTTAGACAACATAGATGATTGCAATGAGTGGTTGACTGGAAACACTGATCATCAAAGTGCTGCAGATGATTTAGTTTTCAGTGATGAGGAAGATGATGGCTTGACATGGGGTGCTCTGAGTAGAGCAACAGGAGCGGAAGAACCCTTAAAATATACTAGAAGGCAGTCCACAATTCATAGTGCAAGTACTAGTCGTAGGCTTGTGGATGAGGAAAGTGATGGAGAATTTGAAGAGGATTTAGGAGGATATAAATCAGATAATGGAGAAAAAACAGACTCGGATTTTGATGACGAATAGTCCTGCAGGAAAATGGGCAGTTGGGCTACAAAACTAAAATCTAATTATGTTTTATTTTCTAGTTTTAGTGTTATAAGACTTTAAGTGAATCATGAGTCATGACTTTATTTTGGTTAATCACTTAATCCTGACTTTATTTTGGTCAATCGTGACTTTATTTTGGTCAATCGTGACTTTATTTTGGTAAAGCATGACTTTATTTGTAAGAAACATGACTTTATTAATGTATTTCCTTCAATATGGTGAACTGATACATCGTGTTTGATTGTAGGAGAGTAGTATGTGTTATTTTTTCTAAGCATTGTGCCTGACATGAGTCAGGCGAGCGCTTTTTTGCGCCTTGCGCCTCAGGCGCTGGGATAACCATGTCGCCTAGAATGCGCCTAACGCCTTTGACTACCTTGCTTCAGCCAATACAGCCAGAAAAGTAACTCCAACCTTACTTTTTCTGCTTATTACACAATTCAGCGCGCGAAAGAAAAAGTTACATGTTTGGTGAAAAAGTTGGTTGATAAGCCTGATAAGCCGAAAAACAGTGTTGCCAAACGCCCTCATAATATAAAAAAAACTGAACACATACTTGTATTCATTTTAGTAATATTTAATATAGAGTTACTAATATTAATTTTAAATCTCTATTATTATAATGAAATAACAATGAATATAAATAAAATATTGATTAGAACTAAGCGAAAAAGAGAGAATTTGATGAGTATGTTCTTAAATATTTATATTACATTTTATGAAAAAATGACTATCAAAATCTATTTTATAATAAAAGTAAACATAAGGGAAAATATACATAGTATATAATATTGTTGATGATTATACACATTTTTGTTTCATTATATTTAAAATGCAAAAAAACTAAACGGATAAGCTAACACCATTAACTCCAGGTTTATTTTTGTGAAAGAGTTAAATAGCTCGGATTATTGTTGTGAACTTTCCCGGTAAGGATTAATTTTTGTAAAATGCATAAACGTAGAGATTATTTATGTCAATTTTGCCACATTATTATGACTGGGGATTATAAGGCTGAATTGGATAGATTGAAGGCTCATCTAGCAAGAGAGTTTGAGATCAAGGAACTAGATGAGTTGAAGTACTTCCTTGGAATGGAAGTGGCAAGATCTAAGAAAGGCATTTTCATTTCACAAAGGAATATGTCCTAGACTTGTTAAGTGAAACTGGAATGCTTGGAGTGCAAACCTAGGGACACTCCTATGGGCTATGGATATATCAAAGAAGTTAGGCAGTCAGAATGAAAGTCCACCAGTTGATAAAGGTGGATAACAAAGGCTGGTAGGGAAGCTAATCTACCTATCTCACACACGGCCAAACATTGCTTCTCAGTAAGTGTGGTAAGTGAGTTCATGAATGATCCAACTGAGGAACATCTAACTGCAATCTATAGAATTCTGAGGTACCTGAAAATGACTCGTGGAAAAGGATTTTTGTTTCAAAAACAGGGGACAAGGAAGATTGAAGTGTTTACTTATTCACCTGGAGGAGCAAGAAACAATTAGTGGTTTTGAGAAGTAGTGCAGAGTCTGAGCTCAAGGATTTATCACAAGGAATCTGTGAAGGATTATGGTTAAAAAGATTGATGAATGAGCTCAAACTTCCATTTGAAAGCTCCGTCCAGATTTCATGTGATAACTAGTCTACTATCAGTATTGCTAAGAATCTTATCCATCATGACATGACCAAACACATTGAGATAGATAGATTCTTATATTAGAATATTGCAACAAAGGATATCCAGCTGAGCTATGTTCCAACCAGGCAGCAAATAGCTGATATACTAACCAAGGCAATTCCCAAATTCAGTTTGAAGACTTATCTAGCAAGTTGTGCATGGAGATATCCATCACCCATCTTGAGGGGGAGTGTAGATTATTACAGATCATTCTAATTACTCACCCGATTGTGCATTTATGAGGAGATGTCTTAAAGATCTCAGAATATCTAAATATCCCCAAATATCTTTTCTTTATTAGAGAACCTTAATTAAGAGGATTCCTTCCTTATTTCACTTTTCTCTAACTATATACTTCCTCCGTTCCATAATTCTTGCAACATTGTGATTTTTACACTATTCACAGATCTTACTTTGACCATGATTTTCTACTAATATACATAATCAAATTATTACGTATAAAATGTTATTGAACTCTTATCAATGTGAATTTCCAAAATATCAACTTTTTACAATGTCTACTAATACATAATTAAATATAATTACAATCAAAGTTGTGCATTGGCAAACGTGAAAGTCAAACTGTTGCAAGAATTATGGAACGGAGGATAGTATATTATGTAATCTTCTCCTTGTATTACAAGGAACAAATAAACAAAATACATTCTTCTTTCTCGAGTTCTTTCTACACCATGTTAAAGTATTTGTCCCACACCGGAAAACTATAAAACAATAAAACCAGTGTTGTCAATCCCGGATAGTGGAGCGTAGCGGCGAGCCCCAAAAACGCTATAGCGGTATAGCGGATAGCGGGATGGCCGCTATTTAGACTACTTTCAAATATATAGATAAGTAACTACTAGAAGCATATGTAATACATACATATGAAAAAAATACTCTTTGCCTTACTGGAAGCATATGTTTTAGCTATGCTAAGGTACACCTAAGGTCTGCAAAGAGACTATTGAAACTAGATGGTTCACCCACCTAAATTACATAGAAATACTCTTTAGTTTCATACTTTCATGAACAAAACATAATTTGCTATTAATAATTAAAACATCTTGAATCAAAACATTAAGTCAAAAACAAGGTTCTAATGTAAGAGTTTAAGCCTTCCAAGCTGGGTCAAGATGTTCTCCTGTGGGCTTAAACAAGACAGTAGACTGACTAGACTCCATACGAGAAGAAGAAGAAGAAAAGAAGACTGCAGGTCTGCAGCAAAGCTGTTGGAGAAGAAGATACTAGTCATACTACTGAAGGCAGAGGAGGGCAGCATGTATCGTTCTTGGAGGAGAAGTCTTCGCAGAGCAGCACAAATAGATGATGGTCATTCTTGGAGAAGGAGCCATCGCAGAGGTGCAACGGACTATTTTCAAAAGCTGGCTTCGGTTTGAGCTTTTGGTAGCCTTTAACTTACGTCTAAAGGGTTTTAACTAGGTTAATATTTTGTTTTAAAAGTCTAATTTACCCCTTCTATGTTTGAGCATGCATCACCCATACCTTGATTACCGGAGATTCTTTAGAGACAGAACCAAAATCATAATTGAAAACACCAAGCCCAATAATATCCAATGCCAAATTTGAAAATTCTGACTCAAGATCCAATTCCATTGTTTTTTCACCCTTTGAGTCTTCTTCTGCTTCTATAAGCTTTTCAAATTTCAACATTGTTCTTTCAGAACAATCGGTGAATACTTTCGTCATAGCTTCCAAGTATGAAGTGTGGAATCCAGGGGCAATGACTGTAGATCACATGAGTAAATAATTGGAACATACTACATAGGTACATAAGTACATAACTATTAAGATTTAAGGGTATGAAAATAAAAAATGCACATAAAGTATGTCTGATATATAAGAGTGCCACACGTCTACAGTAAGATTTATGTTGACATGGTGAGAAGAAACACTTTAAAGTAGTTAAATCGAGTCTAGCAACATATGGCATTATGCTGTCACTTTACCGACCAATGTTAAATATATCAAAATATTGCAGTTTTAACTATTTTATAATGCAACATGGTGTGATGCATTTGCAAATAAGCTCATTACATGCATTACTTATCGCAAAGATGTAGAAACGCATTCGTAATTAAACTTTGACCAATTAGTGACTGAAGAAATGCAAAGTGTTTTTCAGGACTGAACCAACTTAAATCTCAAAAGCCAAACACACCTCTTCTCCTTTGTTTCCAAGTATCAAGGTCGGCAGGTATTAGTCCTTTTCCCATTATAGGTTCCAAAATTTCAGCGAGAACTCCCTGTTTGAAAGCAAGAAATGCCATAGGTTGTTTTGTTCAACATATTCGTTTTGCTTATCACTAAATCTTATTTTAATCCAATAATGGTGAACTGAAAAGTTCAGATATGAAAAGTCTAGCCCAGAAAGACCAATTGCGACCAAACCAAAGGATATGTTTGAGACAAGAAAATTAGACATGATCACTAACATTCAAATCAGGCCAAAAAGATTCAGACCAAATACTAGACCAAAACAGATTTTAAAAAAATCAGACCAGGTCACATTTTTTCAAGCGAGAACAAGTCCATAATCTAAAAGAAATAAGACCAATGCATGGCAAGTTGGCACATTCTCTCTGTACCAGTTTGCACAAATTTGAAAGAAAAATATCTCACAAAAGAAAATATATAGTAATCTAAACTCTAAGAGATTAAGATAAAGAAACAGTCCTTACAAGAAAAGCTCCACAATGAGTGACTAGCCACAATGCATACCTTGTCATATGAGAATGCATTTTCACGAAGAATATGCCTAGCCACAATGGGGTCCGATACAACAACAAATGCTTTTGGCCCAAAAGCAAGTTTGTACACCGAGCCATACTGTTGATTCAGTAAAGCCAAATTAAAAAATTTATAATATATATAATGAAAAAACAGGGTGGCAATGTAAACAAAAACATTGCAAATAGGCAAGTACTGGCTTCAAGCATCAAATAATTAAGCATGTAGCTTGCAAGTGAAATAGATCAATCATCAATGTTTGTTTTTTCAGAGGCTATTCACCAAAAAGTCATTTGAAAGCACTAAATCCCTAAAAGGCAACATCTAATACAGCGGTTTTTATATTTTGCCTCATTTAACCATAACCACTACATACAACAACAACAACAACATTAACCCAGTGCCGCAAAGGCTCCCACCTACAGTAGGGTAAGGGTAAGGGGGGTTGGATGTACGCAGTCTTACCCCTGTACTAAAGCAGGGAGAGACTGTTTCCAGATGGCCCATGATGAAAATTGTGACGAAAATTGCATGGAGTGACTGATGCTACGTAACAAAGAAGCGTAGACAGCTTAGTGAGCTATTTTGCTTTATTCCATCATATTCCCAAATCCCAAACTAAAAATAATGAATCTTTGACTCCATAGGAAATGATGGAATAACCATAACCACTCATCATCATCATCATCATAATCATCATCATCATTACCTCAGTGCCGCAAAAGCTCCCACCTATGGTGGGGTAAGGGGGTCAGATGTACGCAGTCTTACACCTGCATTGAAGCACGGAGAGACTGTTTCCGGATGACCCATAGTGAAAATCGCATCAAGAATTGCATGGACTAACCGTTGCTTCATAACAAAGAAGCGCAAACAGTTTAGTGAACCATTTTGTTTTATTTCATCATATTCCCAAAAAAAATAGTAAGTCTATGGCTACATTGCAAATGATGGAAATGGAATAACCATAACCACTACATATGTTTAATAAAATAATGATATACAGAGTAATAGCTAAATATTCACTGCAATGAAGATACAAAGAGCTAAACAAAACAAGTAGATCATGTTATAGTGCTACACAAAATACCTCTAAGAACCAATCGTACAATGAGAAGAAAAGCGGTTGACCAAAAAGATCAGAGACGGCACCTTCAGCAATTGGCATGGATCCAATTTTACTCCCACTCAACAAATTTGTGAGGAGATTGCTTGCATTATCTAAAAAATTCATCCTTGATTTCCTCTCATCTGTTCTAGTCGATTGGCACCTGTATTGCGGTTCAAATTCACTTCATCCTCCGTCAAGTAGACTTGCAACTTTTAAATTTTTTACATATAAATGAAACGTTGTAAATGCATTATTGGAAAATAAGCTGAATAAGTGCTAGTCAACTGGAAATTCTGCTCCTATTTTTGCATTTAAATATCAGGAAAATTACTTAGTCCAACTTCCTTTCTATTTCTGAAGTGTAGCCTATGTTTGCACCTATACTAATAATAGGCATCACATTGGCATATCCCATATAAGTACTTTTTAATGCAAGTATCATACACATTGGAACCATATAGGCCATTTCCAAATAGTAACACATCATTTTTTAACTTGAAAAAACAAAAACTGGTGATATCCATATTGCCAAGCAAAACACATATCAAGCCAACTTACAAAAAAATGGGTTGTGGCCTTGTGCAAGGACATAACCTTACACCTTCTAATCATCTAATCTAGTAACGAGTATCCTAACATGCTACTCCCTCCATCCCATATGTAAGATACACTGCCCTTTTTGTGTTGAACCATAAATTGAACTCCACTAACTTTTTATTTTCCTACACTTTCCTTAGTGAACACAAACTGTTGTTTCTTAATTTTTGGAGGTTGGAACTGTAAAACAGTAACTTTATCCATTATTTTCTTAAAACCTGTCCCAAACCCAAATTTATCTTACATTATGGGACAGAGGGAGTAATAACTAGTTAATTACTCCGTAATAATCAATACTTGAATAATTCCAATTACTTATTTAAATTTTCAGTGTTGTTTTAAAACTCCAAATTTACTTTATACTCCTTTGCATTTATTCAGATTTTGAAAACCAAACATATTGAGTATGTCCTACTTGGCAGCTCTGAGGCAAGTGAGATGCAGGTATATCTTACATCTGGCCTATGAGTAAGGGCTTCCATGAAGACCCCATGTTTTGGGAAGTTTGGAAGATGTAACGTTTATTCATACATTAGTAATTTTACTAACTTTATAAAACTACAGTTTTACTTTATTATGCATATAAATATCCACTGGGAATATGAGCTTCTGTTTTGGAAATTTAAAACATCTACTCATATCCTTGAAGGCTTGAACATTGATTATGTTTTACTCATGTTTAGGCAATTAACATGAGTGTTTTCCCTAAATCAGAGTATTGTGTTTTCATTCCCTAAATGTAAGTATCCAATCCATCTATGCCCTCCATAATTTAGTACATTACATTTATCGCATAATGCTCCAAATTTAACTGATTATAAATATGAAAATGTCATTATTTGAGTGCGGCAGTATATAGAATGCCATTATAGTTATCAAAATCACATTATTACTTTGAAAGCATAATAATTTAGATTTACTCTCAATTATATTTATTTTAATATTTTGTCGTCAATATGAATACAGAAAGTTCCACCTTTTTACTACTCCCTGGGTCTGACAGATTTCCCTATTTAGTCGTGCCACAAAACTTCATCATTTCAATTTAAAATACATAGTACTCCATAAATATGGGATTAAAGTTGTTTTTCTCTCGTGTGCATAAATCTCAACAACTCAACCAATTAGTTTTTGCCTAATTATTCTCTGTATAAGTGTAAGTCAAACTTCACCAAGTTTGAGGGCGCTAGTATTAGGAATGAAAATGTCAAACAGTCAAATACAACATGTTAGATCTTTGTCCAGATGACAATATTATTGTAACATGTATTTTCACAAGACATCATTCCTGGTGCATGCTGGCATTATGATGACATTACTACAAGATGACACCTTTCCGGCTGGTTTTGCCAATTTTGATTTACAATGATGGCAGCCTATGCAGCATGGAAACTCTCTGGAAAAATGATGGTGGCCTATGCATCATGGAAACTCTTGGGAAAGAGTACCTTTCCGTTTCAAAACTCTACAGGAACTCTTTCGAAACTCTCCAAACAAGCGTTTTTTAAGCAAAAGTTGAAGTTTCATGTTTCCTATTTCCTCAATCACCATAATCGCATTTCCTTGTAACATAGATGGCTGGCTATAGCACGGTCGGCAATATCTGCCAGTGGATAGCTTTTAGCCTATTTTCTTTTGTTTTCTTTAGGAACTGAGAATTACTTGAAAGATACAGGAAGTCAGGAAGAGTTACATTTACTGACCAGTGCCACTATAAACGATGAAAATGAAGGAGAAAACAAACTTACCTGATTCCACTCCCTCCGCTGGGCATTAGCTCCTTGAAAGAATTGGCATGGCTATGTTTATGACCCGGAGACCAGGAAGTGTACGAGGGCAAGCCGATACAAGAACTGGGGAGTGCACAGTGGATTTGAGCAGTAGCAACGCAACATCCAGTAGCCATGGACTTGTATCAAACAGTTGGGGCTCCAGAATCCTAGAAGCGAAAAGAAGAGGTTGAGTCTGAGGATGAGCCAAGCTCAGACTTCTATCGCTGAAATGATCGTTTGGAGGCTTTGATTATGCAGTGGAGTTTTGTAGCAGCCTTTGCTCGGCAAAATATACGGTACAGGCCGGCTGTACAAAGAGCATGAGCATCCGCAGGCATTTTTGTAATTACTTCGAACTTGCAGCCTGATTATTAAGTTTAAGTTGCTCCTTACCCTTCTCCCTCTTGTATCTTCCGCTGCTCCATGTCTTTGTGGTTTTTTTTTTTTTTACTTTTTTCGTTTTGTTTTTTTGTTTTGTGCGTAAGTTACTTTTGGAAAATATAATCATGTTCTTATAATATTTAAACATGCAGATTTATTTTACATTATACTCAATTTAGCAGGGGTGGACCGTATTAGAGATCCAGGGGCAGTCGCCTCTCCAACAAATTTTTTTTAGTGTATATATATATCAAAAAATAATTTTCGCCCTCCCTAAAAATAATTTTTTTAAGTTACTGTCCTCCCAAGATTAACTTCATGGGCCCGCTCCTGCAATTTAGTATAACACAAAACTCATAATAGTATGTAGAATACAATAATTGAGAAATTAATAAATATTCATCTTAAGATTAAAAAATAAAAATAAAAAGAGAAAACTGTCAAATAGGCCCATGTACTCTTACCATTTCGTCAATTAAGCCCTCCTACTCCCAAATCACCCAATCAAGCCCTTCTACTTCCAAAAAACACCCAATCAGGCTTTTTAGTCGGTTACCAGCAGGTCAGGCCGGTACCCGCTGACCTGGAAGCATACGTGGCAAATGACTACCCGACCACTATCCTACGTGTTATCCCGCTCATCTCACCCTAATTCTTCATCGTTCTTGAGCTTCCTCTTCTCTCTGCGATACGTGTGTCTGTGAATAACCATGTCATTTTCATCGACCTCAACGGGTAGCAGAGAACGAAGTCGGGCGATGGACTACGAGCCTCCTGTCTATTGTTGGTGTGGATTGAAAGCCCCTCTTTGTGTTGGACGTGAGACTGGAAAAATGTTTTTCGGATGTAAAAAATGGAAGGTAATTCATTGATTTCGTAGTGTCGTTGATAAGTCCGTATTTAGACACGCATTTGATGCGTGTCCGGGTCGGATTTTGATGGTTTTCCCGGCTTTAAGGTGTTGCAAGTCTCAATTTTGGCTCAAGTTCTGTTTAGCAGGCGTTGGATCGAGTTTCATTGCATTTGGAGTTGATTTGAAGAAGTTAGAGTTCGGCAATCGGCGTTTGAGAGGCATTCAAGAAGGATTTGAAGGCGTTCAAGAAATATTTGAGAGATTTGGAGGTCACCGGGAGATTCAAGACGAAATTCTGATGAAGAAAGAGCATTTGGATCGACCTCGTAGGCATCCGGTAGCGTTTGGAGCAAGAAAACGAAGGAAAAGTGAAGAAGAGGTCGGGTCAGGCACGGTCGTGCCTGGAGTTAGGCACGCCGTGCCTGAAGAGTAATTTTCCTGGGAGCTACTGGAGGCCAGGCACGGTCGTGCCTGGCAGCTAGGCACGCCGTGCCTGTCATTTATCGAGGAACTAAGCTACTGGAGGCCAGGCACGACCGTGCCTGGCAGTTAGGCACGCCGTGCCTGGACGCGAATTTCGGGCTTCTTCCGCTGGCACGGTCGCAGGCACGGTAGTGCCTGGCACCGTGCCTGGCCGCGATTGATCCTAATTCGACCCGAATTCGTTGTTTTCTATAAATAAGGCCTCCATACCCATTCTTGAGGGTTACGAACTTTGGAGAGAGGCCTAGGGACGAGTTTTACCTGCGTTTTTACGTTGTTTAATCCAAGAACCTGGGATTCTTTGTCAGTTTAATTCTTTAATTAATGACAATTTATTCTATTCATCCCAATTATTTTGATTCGTCAATTATGAGGCGTGGGTAGTTTAATTTGGGATTTGGGATTGATGAAGGGGTTGATCATGATTGATGGCTAGATTCTTGTCGGTTTAATTGCATGAATGTCGTTTAATTTGTGTTTGAATAATTTAACCGATATCTCTTGTAACCTAGATGGCCACTAGAATTACAATTGCTTATAGAATAAATTAAGAGAGATCTAATTTGTTCTAGGACACATTCACACACACTTAATCGTTTGCTAAGAGATTAGTAGCGATTAAGGGGCCGTAAGCTCGCTCGTTTTGGCAATAATTTAGGATCTTGTCGCATGAGAGATCAATCTGGACCCCTAAATTATTGTACTCTTCGCCGCGAGAGCGGTAAGAACTTAGTAATGATTAGCTAGGCTCAATTAAATGAAATTCATGTAATTAGGCCTATTCTGCCAGCAATCTGGTTAACCCCGGAATCAATTCATGTTCCCTTCGTCGTTAATTAAGGAAAACCAAATCTTTTTACCTGCTTCTTAGCATTAGTTTTAATTCAATCAATCAACCAATCTCGCACAATTGCACTTTTATTTTATTTATTTCTTTTTAATCGCTAAGTTTAGTTAATCTTTAATTCCCTTTTGTCCGTCCATGTGGAGACGATACTCATACTTTACACCACTTTTCTACAACCATTTTAAGTGCGAGAAAACTCACATCAGTCGTGTTCAATTAGAGTGTGAAACGTATTTTTTTGGGTGCAACACATATATATTAGCATTAACTAAAACTATGGTGGTGTTTTATGATGGTGTACGTACAGGTAGGTAGTTGTGGATATTTTTTATGGAAGGAAGATGCTGCAAGAAATGATTTGATTAGGCCTGGAGTCGAGGAAGCAAATGTGAGGCCTATAGATCAGAATGAAGTGTTACATGAAGTGAAAATACTAGTTCCAGGTCTTGTCCTGCAACTAAGCCATGTAGAGGAAAAGATTGGTGCTGTTAAAGCTAGTGTTGATGATGAGGCAAAGGTCAACAAAAAGAATAGGAAGATGTGTGCTTTTGCTATGTTTGTACTTCTTCTGTTAGTAGGAAGTATGTATTTGAGGTTGTAATAAATTATTGTAATGGCAGAGATGGTAGATTATGCAGTGCTTGTTGGTTAGTTGGGCCGGATTGTTAAGTTTTAGCATTTTGTTTACTGGTGAAGTGCTGGAAGCTGTATTGAATTTTCAGACTGATTTTTGAGACCCTAAATTCAAGGCTTGGAAGCGGTGTTTTGTTCTCCTTTATTGTGTAGTTTGTTAGTCCCCTGTTCTCTTTTTTTTTGTGTAGTTTGTTATTCCAGTACTTGTGGCATGAATGTGTTATAGTTTTGTTCATGCTGATAGCTTTGTTCTATTGAAGCTGTGGCATATAGACATCTGTTGTTGGCTAATAGCTTTGTTATATTGTTGGTCGATAGCTTTGTTCTAGTATGTCACAGTTTTCTCTTTTCAGTATGCATAATGCATACTGATTCCTTTATATGTACCGAATAAAGCAAATAGCATATACCTTAAAGCATGAATGTACTGAACTCTATATGATCTTACAGTAGCACAAAGCAAATAGCATAAACCACAAAGCATTATGTAAAAATGCCTTATACATAATGTTGAGGTATATTACCCCGGTCCGTTACTGTTCAGGAGCCCAAGGCATCGCCCCAGCTTGGAGCCCGAATGACAAGGTCCATTTCAGCCTATTAGGCATGTTTCAGCCCTTTGGGCCCGTTTTGGGCTTACTTGGCCCATTAGGTTAGGTTTCCCCCTTTCCCTTACCCCTATAAATATGGGGCTTTCCCACATGTTTAGGGATCCTTTTCTTCTTCCTCCTTCTCACTAGAATAGCTAAGAACTCCATTAATGGGAGCTTCAATACTTGTACTATGTAATGGTGAGGAGAGACTAATGAGAATGAGAGGGCTTGGACATTAGCCTAAAAAGTCCCGTGGTTTTCTCCCTTTCGGGTTTCCACGTAAAAACTGAGTGTTCATACATATATTTACTATATCGTGTTGGATTAAACTCAACACTGGCGCCGTCTGTGGGAATCAGTTCAAAAAGATTAACGTGTTCTTGATTTTTCTACGAAAAATCTGAGGCAAAGAACTGGTTTTCAACAAAAAAAATTGATACCAGACACTGGTTTCAACAAAAACGAAGAAAAACGATTCTGGGGAGTTGACTTTCAGCAAGAACAAGGGGAAAGAATAGGAGCTCCATGGCAAAGGCAGTTTTCTCTTCCCACGTGGGTTGGTGAAGGTGACAAGATTGGTGAAATGATTTGAGGGGCCCATGACCCTGTCTTGACTTTTCAATGATGCAAAATTACAAAGCCAACGCCAAGTTGCCGCACGTAGCAATTTTCCTACCTAAGCTAGTCCGTCGGGGAGGGTTGCGCCCGATGAGCAACCCTCATTCCACCTAAGATTAACAAGGCCTAGCTCGCTTCCATGCACGTACATGCGGAAATCAAGGGAAGCATGGCAAGGGACGTACTGCCCCTAACGGGAAATCCGACCAAGCGCTGAGTGTCGATCACCTAATTACACAGGACCCAATTTTGGACGCCATTGAAGCCCAACCAGTAGGATGGCCGCTCGGCTTCTCAAATGAAGCCCGATTGACAATGCACGTCGGGGAACAGTTCGGGCACCATGTAAGCCGGCCCCCCGGCCGGCATCTGAAGCGTTGCCCAATAATTAAGCCGCTCGCCTCTCAACGCATGTAAGTTTGTGACTGTGGGAACAACGCTCGTCCCCGTATCTTCGACGATCACTTGGTCAGCACTCGGGTAGGAGCAAAGGCCGCCCATGGACACGAGGAGTGGGTTTAGTTTGATCAGTTTCTCAATGAGGTGTACGTATAGTTCGGAGCATTTCATACGCACGTTACATTTTTTCCCGAACAAACGGATTGGAAGGAGCTTGCTGTAACTGCTTTGACTTGGGGGATGTTCGTCCAACGTGAGGGAAGGACGTCATACCAGCGCTCCATGCGTTCTCTTGGTCCATGATTACATTGTCGCTAGGCATTACGTACTCTTACTCAAATCGCCCCCCGTCACCGCTTAGATCACAACTTGCCTCCTGATCATTGAGATACCAGCTCACCGACCCATTAATGGTCACCCCCGTTCCCAGCCTTGGCTCCCAAGGCCACTGCAGGCTGATCACCGACTACAAAACACCCGACGTACGTCACCCAGCCGTGGCGACGACCAGCATCAGA